AATTTTTTTTTTTTTTTGGCATTAAGGATATAAAAAAACTTGCTTTTGATCTGCTTTTTCTTAGGATGAGCACTTGGGTGAGCCTCTTTGTGTAGTTTAGTCTTTCTTTTGATTTGGGAAAAGGAGAAACACTATCTTTTCCAAAAGCATTGTTGATTAATGATCCGTTACATCACATTTTGTGGTAAAAATATTTTTTTAAAAAAATAAATATCAATTCTAGTATTCCGTTTACGACTTATGGGGAGTGTCAAAATTCCATTTTCCCCTTCTTTCAAAACCATGTCAGTCGAATGGTTTTATACAAGCCTAACTCTAACCCAGTATGAACTCATATTCTTCTAATAAACGAGCCATCCGTCTCGACTCGCTTAAGTTTGTCAAAGCTCAGCTCGTTTGTTAGACTTAAAGTCATAAAGAATAAGAATAAATGAATTGTGTGTGGACAAGCTTAACTCAGCTGGTTTAACTATTCGTGCTCGACTTGTCTAGCTAAACGAACGAGCTGGGCTCGAGATTTAAAGAGTCAACCGATTTGTGTTTGCAAATAGTTTGATTCGAAATTGATATAAAATGAAATTTCATCATGTGTAAAACTAAAGGGGATGAAGTAACAATTCAACTGACGTGTTACATTCAACCGACACAAAATATACTCCAACTAGCTTAATTTCATAGGAAAATAACATAAAATTCGATATATTTATTATCTACGCTACTTATTAATTCCATTTAAATCCTCGGAAGCGTGTTACTTATTAATTCCAGTTGAATCCTTCATAGCATCAGCTGCTCCTTGTGCCTTAGCCATCATCTGCTGACCTGTCTGCCAGATTAGTAATTAAATGTGTCAATTTCACTTTTTAGATTTGTTGGTTTTAGTCCACATAACAACTCATCTTTCAATTAAACAGAGCTTATATGAGTTTTTCAAAAACTTCACAAAGTTAGAGTAGATTCATTCTCAGCCCTAATTACCAAAAATTAGTTCCCCTCTTTTCNATTATTGTATTGGTAAAGAATGTTTTTGGTAGAAATTTGGCACCTCTTGAACCGACTGCTTTGCAGATTCAGCCGTGTTGCTGATCTTGTCAATCGCCTGGTTAGTTTTCTCCTGAAAATTTTAGAGGAGAAAATAAAGCATGATAACATTAGCTGAATCTACAATTAAATAAAATACAAATTCTTGTATAAGACGGTCTAACCATTAGATGATTGACAAATTATATTTTTATAACAACACTAAACTATTGTTAGTTGGACCTAACATAAGTATACATTTCATAGTATAAGTATATGCACTTTTCTTAAAATAAGCAAAGAAATGTTGACCCGTCTAACAGTTAGACCGATCACAAAAGAATTTATGCTATACTAGTATGCAAGGTTAAAATTTTATTTACACTATTTTCAAGGGCATGGCATTTCTTTAACTTATGTATAATTCTTGATGCAAGTTAAAAGATAGCCACGAGTAAATACAGAATAAAATAATTCCTTTGTTTCATAAATTATGTATAATTTTTTATGTCGGTTAAAGGATAGCAACGAGTAAATACAGAATAAAATAATTGCTCTGTTTCACCTGAGTTTGGCCCCTGGCCTCACCAGCATGGTAATTGGATTTCACCTGATCCATCCCTTTTTGAAACCTTTGAGAGAAACGTTTTTACTTTTTACAGATTTAAAACTGAAAATTAGGGTCTCAACCAATGTTCTTAGTACTTATTTCGCTATTATGGTAAATGTATTTATAACTACGTGAAACTCTATAAATAGCATGTTGTGACCACTTCTATCGGTGCACATTTGGCCAAAAAAATTCTAATTTAGATCTATAATTAAGGATCAAATACTTTAGCAGATTTCTTGGATCATATTGAAAATATTTCAATGGAGCAATTACTATCCAACAATAATGGGATTATGGGAACATTTCAACCTACATCTTTTATAGTTGGATCAGTATGCATACGCACGGGTCTATATGTGTAATGTGTGTGTTGACTAATGGTAAAAACCCGGTTGACCATCCCAACAATGATAAACATTGTGTAGTTTTATAAATTAAGTATATATTGAATTCATAATATTTATATGTTTTTTTATGTTTTTAATCTGTTGGATACCATTTCGCTATAAAATTGGTGTATATGGATTTCAGAATTTTATTTAATGTCCTGATTTATTTTAATCTTATTTACATAACCACTTAAGATAGATATTTGTAAATGCCACAATTTATTACACTAAATACTATCATCTAGAGCAGATCCGGTAATTTGTGTACTTAAATTAATCCAGAACTTCATCAGTTATTATTTCGTGATAGAATTTGAAGTAATAATGTTTGACCAAACTATGTGGCATTTGGTCAGAAATGTCACCTATACACATCACTATTGGTATTATCCTTTTCCATTAGGCCGAGGATAACTCTCAAGTCTCAACACATAGCTGTCGACACGTACACACTTTTATTTAGGAGCATACAAATTTGAACAAGTGTGTTCGTTATTATTCAAATTCAAGAACTCTTTTTCATCTAAAAACTTATAATAATATATAATACCAACTTAGCTATAAATAATTTTCATCTATAAACTTATAATATAACAAAAATACATGTTTATGATATAATATGAACTCAATTAGTTTAAATTAATACTGACAGTGTTCGACTAAGTCGCAACTTGCTAGCATGCTAGTACCTTAATATTATCCAATATAGGAACCTATGAATAAGGGCTGCCACAAATGATACATTTCATAAAATAACATATTTTTATTTATTCTATTTTATTTTTAAATTTTACATTTCAATACAAAAATATGCATATCTACTTAATAATATATATGGATAGTTTATCCAAGTTTGATTAGTTTACCGACTAAACTTTTGAATAACATGTTGGAAACTATGATGGTAGATTTTGCAATTATATTTTCAATAACTCAATTTTCAATATGATTCATGTATGACTGTTTAACCATTATGATGAGTTAATTTGATCCGTTATGTCTATAACAAAAATGTTCACTTATATTATATTATATGTAAGCTATATTTGTTTTTACATTTTTCATAATATGACATTTCATGACATATTTACTTTTAAAATATAACAAACTAATATATTTTGCTTTACTGTTTTACCAACTGGGTTTGTCGAATAATGTGAATTCTAGATTGTTATAATATTATAGTTAGAAATAATGAATATTGTCAAGTGTATTTTCGGTAACTCAATTTATGAACGAGTCTAGCAGTATAGTACTAACTTTTATTTTTTTTAAATGTCATTTTGGTTTTATCAACAATTAGTCAAATAAATGACGTTTTAGGCTTTTTTTTTACATATTTTTCCATTATTACCCTCATCTAACTAATAAATACACTACGTCTTTTTATATTTATTCTTCATCTTTTCTCAAAACATCAATCTGTATCCTCATTAAATGAGGTTATTATTGGCAAAAAGAGATTCTTAATTATTCTGCAACTTCTCCAAACGAAACTTATTAAAATATGACAAAATCTAAATATATAAAATACGATGAGTTAATACTTATCAAATAATGTATTGACAAAATCTAATTAAATTTTTAATTTTAATAAATTTGATAATAAGAAAAATAATGGATATTTTTCATTTTTGCTAACATAATTTGTAAATAATTCATGTTGAGTAGAGTGGTATGACTTAAATATGGTTGTCTAATCTGGCCGTCCGAACCGCCTAATAGTAGCGTTGTAATTTTAAATTTAATTTTTTTTTTAACCCAAAATCATAAATCCCTACACCCCGCTTGGATGATAATAATAGTAATAATAATATTAACTAAAATTAGCAAAAGAAAGATTCACAACCACGCCAGGATAGAAGATTCCTTCCCTCTTCTGGATAACATGATTGCATGAACCATGAAAGGGTCACAGTTGACAGTAATTAGTTAGGGACAGCGAAGTAATTTGCTGACTTATTCCACCATCTTCACTTGAATCAATCCAACGGCTCCCGACTTTTACGCTAACAAACCAAGTGTCTGGTGTAATAACAGCCAATCCCCCGCCACATTATAAAACGGGGGCTCGCCGGCACAAAATCTTCATCGCCTCCAAACATACTGCAAAAGGCTCTCCCGGGTAACAAGGCGGATCACGAACGGAATCATGATCAGCCGTAGCGTCCGCCCAAAGCACGTCCACAGCCTCCGCCGCCTCAACTCCGCCGCCGTGTCCCTCCCCTGGGCCGACGGGAAATCCGATCCCCCGGCCAGGATTCCCGACCGCACGCCCCCCGCCGACGGCTGTCCCGTCGACCTCACCGACACCAAGTCGCTCTTCGCGTCGTTGTCAACCGGGAAGCTGATCCGGTCGGCGGCGACGCTCCACCTGGCCTCGATAGGCCCGATGGTGGACATCGGGACCTGGGTCATGGGATCGAGGCTGATGGAGGTCGACCTCGTCCGTCGGGCGGTGCTGGGGTTCACGGAGCGGACCTTCTACGGCCACTTCTGCGGCGGCGCGGATCTGAGCGCGGCGCGCGAGACGGTGGAGAGGCTTTGGTTTGCCGGACTCAACGCTATGATGGATTATGGTTTGGAGCATGCCAGCGACAACGAGTCCTGCGATTGCAACGCCGACGTGATCGTCGACACCATTAATTCCAGCAGGACCTCCGGAAATTCAGCTGTAAGTTTTTCCTTTTCTCCCCTCCGGCCCTCCCCTTTTTTTTAGCTATTTTGTTAAAGTCAAGCTGCCGATCAAGTGTTCGATGAAATGACCCAAACAGTTTCTGCATTAGCAAATCCTGATAACTTACACCGTACATGTGCATCAGGTAAGCTTCGTGGTGGTGAAGTTGACGGCAATTTTCCAGCCGAAGCTGCTCAGGCGAGTGAGCGACCTTTTACGGTGGGAGCACAGAGACACCTCCCTTCACCTCCCATGGAAACTCAAATCCCTTCCGATTTTATCCAACATTAGCCCTTTATACCACACCCCAACAAAACCCCAACCTCTAACCCTACACGAAGAACACGACCTCCAATTGGCGCGCGCGAGGCTCGACAGAATCTGCAGACGAGCAGTCGAGGCCGATATCCCTCTCTTGATTGATGCAGAAGACACCTCAATCCAACCGGCCATCGACCACTTTGCCTACTCGGCCGCTGTGGAACATTCCGGAAGGGAAGACGGGAGCCCCATCATATTCAACACGATCCAAGCTTACCTCAAGGACTCGAAGGAGAGGCTCGTGGCTGCCAAGGAAGCTGCTGACCAAATGGGGGTGCCTGTGGGGTTTAAGCTGGTGAGGGGAGCTTATTTGTCGAGCGAGAGGATGTTGGCTGATAGGTTGGGGGTTAAGTCACCTGTTCATGATAGCATAGGGGAAACTCACACTTGTTTCGACTCGTGTGCCGATTTTCTGCTTGAGGAGATCGGGTGCGGGTCGGGTTATGCTGTGCTGGCGACCCACAATGTTGAATCAGGTGATCATTTACTACTACTCCTTTGTGTTGGGACGGGTATAACTGTTGGGCGGGTCGACCCGTCAAATTCTGTTAACATGAAGTAGTCTATTTTTTCAAGAAACTTAGCTGAAAGATCAACTTTTTTTTTTAATTTTTTTTTTTTTTGTGTCACTTATTTGATTNCTTGGGTTTTGCAGTATTTTGAATTTTTTAGCTGGTTTCATATTTCAACTTTTTAAGAATATTTTTTTCAGTTGGTTTAGTTTACTTTTTTCTTGTTATTCAATCTAGTATTTATTTTTTATTTCAAGATTTTAAAAATGGTGGATGGATTGCAGGGAAAATGGCAGCATCAAAAGCGGTTAACCTGGGAATCAGAAAGAACAGCCCATATCTCCATTTTGCTCAGCTCTATGGAATGGCAGAAGCACTTTCTTTTGGGTTGAAAAATGCCGGTTTTAACGTGAGCAAATATCTGCCGTTTGGACCGGTCGAGCAAATCATGCCTTATCTTCTCAGAAGGGCTGAAGAAAACAGGGGACTCTTGGCTGCCTCATCTCTTGATAGGCAACTCATGAGGTAACTAATAATCTCCGTAAATGTTTAAGAATTTTTTTTAAATTTATATATCAGTCGGATTATGGATTTCTTCATTTGATTTTTTACATGCAGTAAGGAGATAATAAGGCGTGTTGCATCAAGATCGATCGAGGCTTGATGTGTTTTGTTCTGATGATCAGTATGGATTTGCTTTGGGAGAGGATTTTGCTTATTGCAGTACATGTATATTGATGATTATTCAAGAATTAGAATCTCAAGAATTGTTAGGCATTTTATTGATGAAGTTATAATTTTTGTGTGTAAAAAGTGAGAGATAGCAACAAAAAGTCCCATGTGAATCATTTGAATGTGAATTTACGTAGCGTTTTGTTGCTTTCGTCTCAAGTTGCTCAGTTGCTAGAATAAAACCAGCGCGCATGCAGATTTGATCGAACTAGCTTGAACGAGCTTTGTACGCGAATGTTTGTTTGTTCACAGCTCCGCCAGATAATATGTAAATTTTTGTTGCTTAATAATAGAAGATGAAGTTGGATGGTTTTTTTTTTTTGGGGGTACAATGGAAGGAAGGTATTTTCATTTGCTGTGGAACTCGTAGCAACTAGCAAGCTAGTAAATGAAAAATTTCCCTGCATTATGACAGGAATTTCTTACAATTTTCAAAAATATTTGATTGACAGCAGTATTTTCAAAATAAAATATTTTTTTAAGAAATGCCTTTTTTCGATGAAAGTGGTATTATTACTACATCTACTTATCATACCGATGTTTATACATGTTTTAATGGAAATAAACTATTGGGAAAGGATATTATTCACAGTTATTATTTCTCTCCCTTTCTCTGGGAATATGGGAATTGTATGTTATCTAGTTAAGAGCATCAAAATAAGAGACTCAAGAAATAAATACCACTATGAATGTTATGAAACTATTTTAAGCAAATCTTCATCTAGCTTTTGGTCAACTAAAAATATTTAAAATAATTTATGCATAATTACTATATTTAAAAAATTATAAATCTCATGTTTTAGGAATATGTTTTTTCTAAATCTCGTATTTAAGGAATAGAAATTTAAGGACTAAAAAGATTCTAATAAGATAAGTTAGAAAATTTCAAAACTGCTAGTTTTGGGAGAGTTAATTTGCTAAATGCTTATAATGTAGACAACTTTGTTCTTTAGCCTAATAAATACTTCCTCCTATTTTTATCATTTGTCACTCTGGCTTAATTGATTATTGATTAAATAAGTATCATTTTGACTATTTTGTTCATATTTTTCCATTTTTAAATCCTCATCTAATACACAGTGTCTATTCATATCCATTTTCATCGTTTCCCATAACATCCATTAAATAGGTTAATATTAGCAAAAAAAAAATTATTAATTAGCGTGTTGTTTCTTAAAACGACAAATAATAAAAATAGGAGGGAGTACTCCCTCCTATTCATAATAAGGGTCGTTTTAAGAAGTTGCACAATAATTAAAGATATTTTTTTGTCAATAACAACCTTCTTTAATGAAAATAGAGAATGATGTTTTGGGAAAAAATGAAGAGTGAATATGAAAAAACGTAGTATATTTATTAGCTAAATGAGGGTAATAATGGAAAAATATGTACAAAAGATCCAAAACGACATTTATTTGGATAATAGTTGATAAAGCCAAAATGACATTTAAAAAGAATAGGAAGTAGTATTATTTATCATTTATGTTTTCAAGTCAATTTTTTTTTTCTTTTTTTAAATGTTGTCCATTAAAATTGTCACGAAATGTTAAAAACAATGCTGTCTGTTGTAATCCAATAAACCAGGCAAAAGGCAAACATTGATGGACGGTAGGAGGACCATAGATAATGGTGTTTGTGGTGAATTCTTAAAACAATTACAAGCAAAATTCCCTACGTAATAACGATTGAAAAGACTCCCACGACTTAAATATTTAGCTTGAATGGTAATCACTATCAACTCATTTAATAGAAAAAAGAAAATGTATGGCAATATAATGAATTAATTTATTGATTGATTAGTCTCATGATGAAATATAAATCCGGGAAAAATTTTACCCCACCCAGAAAAATTTTTACCCTACTTTTGTAATTAGTAGTCCAAACCATTGAATCAATCAATACAAAAACCCTAATATAGATCAGATTAAATTCTCCCTAAAACTAATGAAAATGCAAAAAGAACGGTGTGGGCAGAGATCTGAATGTATAAATGTGTGCGATCCGACAGCTCATATGAAACTCCTTAAAACAGATGAAGAGGCAAAAGGACAAAACAAGACCATCTCTCATTCCTACTTCATTTGGGACAGCTTTAATGCATGCCTAACATGTGGCCAAATATCCTTTGACCTACATTGCACATGCTGCATTTGATGAATTGAATTCAACCAGACAATATCTAAAAGCATGCCTTCAAAAAACCATGTGGATCACATGGCTCCATTATTATGGGAGCGAGCTCTACTGCTGATTTGACAACAACACATGTATTATATGGCCCAAAAAATTTAACGACGGCCCAACAAGAAAAANAAAAAAAAAAAAAAAAGGATTCAATGAAATAATATTCCAAGATCAGCTTAATGTCTGATAGCCCGGTGGGCTCTGCAGCCCACCATTTATGGAAGGCATCATCCAAGGAAATAATTTTCCGAGCTTCTGGCCTAGTGCCGTTTGCCTTTCGTTTATCCCAAACTTTGCTCTTTCTACAGCCTCCATGAAGTCCTCTCTCGACACGATTTCAGCGCCTGCAAAGTAAATTCCAACCGTAAAAAGTTACTGATAAAACTCATTTCACGCGTTTCACTAAAAAATTCGCGGTTGATACACATTGGTGAACTTCACTGAAGTTCTACTCTTCATACACCGACTTTGATTATGAAAATACCCTTTGAGCATACGATGCAACCCCACGAGTTAATGCATTTTCTTCACGTAGGAGCCCCGCAATAAGGTCTAATATGTCAAACCAGAAACAAATAACGAGATGGTACTATTCGTATACACAACACCCTCAAGGGCATTCTACTAATTTTCCCAGTAAGATACGAATAACAAAGAGAATGCTAACTATGACCAATTTTTCTGAAACGCCTTCGGGAGTTAATAGAAAATAGTACAACGAATGTGAAAGAATCCAAATGTTATGGGTTATTTGTTTATAATTTTTTTCAATTCATACTCAAAATCTAACTCATTTTAACCTAACTCTACTATCCACAATATTATCAATATAATTAACTAATAACAAACAATCGTTCTTACATATCACACCGATTTCAATTTACCGTTCATCCACTCACATAATTTTAACTAATCATCACTTCAAATCTTCTCTCTCCTACTTTTACATCAAATCAACTTCAATTATTTTACTTTAAATATTATTTTAATATAAAACTTAAAATCCCACTAACAATTAATCAACTCTGATTAACAAAAAAAACTCGTTTTGAGCGGATATATTGTATCCAAGCACGCCCTTAAAAGATAAAATTAATCTAACCTCTTCGCGCGGCAAGCAGGACAGCCTCATTAATGATATTTGCAAGATCAGCTCCAACGAGGCCTTGAGTAAGAGATGCAACCAAGCTGCAAATAAGGCTCGTGTCCTCCTCCAAAGGAACTCCTCTCAAATGTATGCCTATAATCCTTTTCCTACCATCTTCATTGGGTTCACCCACATACACTTTTCTTGAGAAACGGCCTGGCCGGCACAGTGCCGGGTCCAAAGCCTCTGGTCTATTTGTTGCGGCTATAACAACCACATTTATGTCGGACTCGAAACCGTCCATTTCTGTCAGCAACTGGAAAAGACAACGAATATCGTAAGTGCCTCATGATGCCAGAAAAAATGATATTCAAAATATTAGAATCTCATTTATAGTATGAAGGGAAGAAATTTAATTTGAGGAAAAAAGTCAACGACAACGGTTTCTAATGGTGCAGTTTGCGGTTTTGACTATCTTGCTTTTGCCATCAGCAATATATGCCGGTTCAACTTTTTGGTTAAGATTGGAAATATGAGATTTATGATTTCCTTTCTGTAATGCCACTCTGAGTTGTTCTATTATCACCTAAAGAGCTTGCATGCATTCCTATCAGAGTCTGCTGCCATCATATTTCAGTTTCCTTTTACTTGATTATTTGATTGCACTTCGAACAGCTAATCTTTTTATTTAACTGTAGTCCCTGAACTGTTATTTGTTTGGCTTTTCACTTCACTCCCCAAGCCATCTAACACTAACTATGCATAAAGTGATAAAACTTGTCATGAATACTAGGCACATGCTGGAATTTGATCTTTCAAGTGAACTAGGCACAAAGTGAAATAAAACAAAACGGCTCGGGGTGTATAAGAAAAGAGCGTTCAGTACACTTAAGTACAAAATATCCTCACAGTTCAGGGACTTCTACACTAGTGGTCAAGAACACAATACGTAAGCCACCAACTTTCTATATAGCCATGCATATTGTTGAAAGAAATAGGTAGGCACCACAGAAAATAAAATGCAGGCAGATACACTGCAATTCTCAACAAAAAATAAAATTCGAGAGAATACCTGATTTAAAGTTTGGTCTCGTTCGTCATTAAAACTCCTCCCACGCTTTCCACCAACCGCATCAAGCTCGTCTATGAAAACAATCGAGGGTGCATTCTTCCTCGCAACATTGAAAAGATCCCTTATGCGAGCGGCCCCACGTCCCACAAACAGCTCGACAAATTCACTAGCAGAAACCGGGAAAAAGGGTACCCCGGCCTCCCCAGCCACAGCACGTGCCAGCAAAGTCTTTCCTGTCCCTGGTGGACCAACGAGCAACACACCTCTGGGTAGCTTTGCCCCAAGCTTACTGTAATTAACTGCTCCGTGGAGGCAATTGACGACCTATTAAGTAAGTGAAAAGGAAAAAAAATAAAAAAAGAAATAGCATGAGTGGTGACAGTGTGTGTAAAAATTCACGAGATCCATATGAAGCAAACAGGCTATTATCCATCGATGCATATTCCATATGGTTAGAAGTTAGAACTCCTCTGCTCATACACAGTGATTATTCACATACACTAAAAGTAACAAATCTATGGGAAAACTACATTAATTTAGCATCCGCAAGCACTCCTTCAGATCGACAAGTTACTCCATTTAGAGTTCGTTTAACGTGAATGATGTTAAAAGAAAACAATCATTTTGTTCATCCATGTTTTTGCTTCAGAGCACACCCCTCATGTTAACATTACTTCATTTTTAGAAGCAAGGCTTACTGTGCCCCATGAAGTCATTTTTGTTATCTAAACTCGACATAATATGAATCTATCTATCCTTGTGCATACAGACTTTCTCTCTACTGGAACCTAATCACTTATGAGAACCCATTTTAATTATTTAAAACAGGACGGCTTTTTTGGCTTCTACTTGCTAGAGTTTCATATTATATGTTCCAAGCACCAAGAAAAAGGGTCCAAAGGTAAAGAATCTACAACAAGTAGCTAAAATTGCACCTAGTCTGCATTGACTAACAGTCTAATACAGGGGCAAAATATCCACACCTCCATCAGCTCCACCTTTGCACTATCCACACCCTCGACATCCTCAAAGCTAACTAATCTGTTGCTACTCTTTCTCTTCTTAGCCAGACCATTACCCGGAGCAAGCTGCCGGTACATAATCCACATTAGAGGACTCAATGGGACCCACAACATGAGTGTTGTGACCAGCACATCCCTCATCGACTTCAAAACGGATCGACGTACCAAGCCATACAGAGCACCCGTTTCCCTCGCCAAACCAAGAAGATAACCGACATCATGATCTATCTTTCTCGTCGAATATTCCCAACCGATTTTCTGATTTTTAGAATTAACCAATTTCTGAAGCATATAATCTTCCCCAACCACAACATCTTTCTCAGGATCAAGGCTCGATTTGTCATCCTCGGCTAGGGCCTTTTCTTGGACCCAGGATTTGGTGCAGTAGAATATCTGACTCGTGCCTTCCTCAAACATAACACAGGCAATACTCTTGTTCTGAAGATTTTCAATCAGGTGCGTGTAGGGCACGCCTTTTGGGACGGGCGTGGAAGTTACTTTGAGGAACCAGAAACACAGACCCAAGACAATCGATACGCCAACAGAAACCGTGATTTTCTTGGCATTTCTGCTGTGAAATGATCTAATGCGGTCTAGAAGCGATTCAATCGAAACCCTTTTGAATCTTTGAGACAGTGACCGTATCCTACGCCGCAACTGCAGAGAAAACTTCCTCTGAGGTGGTTCGATTGATTTTTTCTTGTCAATCTTCTCGTCTGCAGAGGAACATAACAACCTAATCGGAGATTTACGAGTACCATAACTGAACAGCACAGAACTAGAAACAGGGCACGAGCGATTCTTGGGTAGTTTATAAAAGAGGATTTCGCGTTTTGCAGAAGAACTGTAATTTACAGCAAGAACATTATTCACCTTCAGCCTTTGTTGAGCAATGGGAGACACATTATTCCAAGCTATTGGGATGGAAGCCATTGTGCAGTCAGCTGTAGACAGGAGTTTTCCCCATGAAAAAACCAGTGCAATATTTCGGAGCTTGTAGTTTGGTTTAACGACGCAACTATTGGGAATGGTATACTTTGGTTTAACGAGCTCGATTTGGGAGCTTGTAGTATGGTATGGTGCTGTTAATGTTATAGCGACTGAGATTTGAAGGGGAGATAAGCTGTTTGTGGATTTTTCTTTTTCAGGAGATCTTTGTGGTTTAGATGGCCAATTGTACCGATCCGTGGAGAAAATATCTTTCGGCTAAGATGACGCAATATTGTAAATAGAGAAAATATTAATAAAATTTATTCAAAATTTATTCATTAATTTACTAGTATTCATATTTTATAATACTAATATTCGATCATGTGCACATATACAGAGGAGAAAACAAAAATTTAAATATTATATGTACGTATATAATATTTAAAACTTTAAATTAGATAAAGTGTGTATTACATCTTAAAATTGTGTCTATATGTAAATGTATAATAATACAAAATAGAAATATTAGTTGTAAAATAATTTAATATTGCATATTCTGAAAATTTAAAATTTTGTAAAGCTGTTACAAAATAAAAAATTAATAATAATAAGATTTTACTTGTATAATTGACATTTGAATGCTAGTCATAAATATTTTTATTAAATAAAGTCCTATTTTTATTAAATGCTGACAAAAATTTTATTAATTGTTTTGTCAGCAACTATATATATATATATGTTATATAATAGGTTAATTAATAGGGTAAATGAAATATAGTGTAAAAATTTAATACATTCATAATTATCGTATTAATTTTAATAAAATTATAGTCAATGTATATTTTATACAAAAAAGTTATTTTTTATTTTCAATCACAATATTTTTTTTAATATGGGTGCTCGTGGGCCGGGGTAACTTAAATAAAACAATAAGAGGCCCCAGGCCGAATTCGTAAAGGGTGATGTTATCAGAGCCCAGTAATTTGTTCATAATTTTGTACATTTTTGTTCGGCTTTTGTTACACTGTACTAATAATAACTATAAAAAGCCCAAATCTCTTCAAATTTCAGAATTTGCACATTACACTTGAACCTGGACCACAGATTTCCAAAGTTGGTGATCTAATTGATTTTTCTACTGGTTAGTGGTTTGATTAATTATAATAGTGTTACCATTGGTTTAATATAGAAAATAAAATATGGAAAATAGTAAAACAATAAATATAAAATCTATTATATATATCAAGGTAAAATTTCATTAAGGGTCCATTAATTTGACACATCTATTGGCCCATCAATGGCCATCATCAAAAGCTTAGTTAGTCTATTAAGTTATCACTTTAATCTAAGTTGCCATCATCAGTTTTGATTTAATTTTAATTGGAGCCGAAAAAAAAAAGGAGTGAGTAATTCTTGTTATATCTAGCAACGAATAATTATGTACCAATATTAGACCGATTTAGCAAAATTAGAGCACGATTAGAGGAATATGAGGAATCCTATACTGAAAATTTGAAAAATCATAATGATCAATATTCTTTAAAATAAATATACTTCTTAAATACAGTTTGTCAAAAGTTCATTGACTCACATTTTGATTAGAAAAAAGTCTAATTTATTATGTACCCTTTAAGATACTTTCTACTAGGTACATATAATAATCCGATCTCTTAGTCTCTATAATTGTTGTTAATACACTTCTACGGACTACATGTGTATCTCAATTACTAATCTTCGTTAATTATATACCCAAAAGGATGGTAATGATTAGGCCAATCAGCATGTTTCGTCCTAAGTATAGTGTTTTATTTCATTTTCTCTAGTCAATTCACACATTAAGGCTAAGTCTATTATTACGATGATTTAACGGTTAGTTAACCGTATTTTTTTATTAAATTTATAACTTTTAAATCGAAATATCATGATCTAATACATAATTAACAATATAACATTTTATACAAAATGAAGTCATTTTTTTTTTTCTTTTTCTCATGCCAATCAAAATGGAGTTAATTAGAAACTAATAATCAGTAGATCATGTTTACGTAGTTCACTCCTGATTTTAAAGCTCATTAAAATCACATATTAATAAATTAATTTTTGAATAGTTATTCTATTTCTATCCATCCTTTTCATTTTCTCTACTTCTTCTACCTTAGTCATTTTATTTTTATATTTTACGATCACTTATACTGTATAAATGGAATAATAACCTAAAAATGTCAATAAAAACATCAAACATTCAACTTAAATCGACACTTAATACTAGTTAGATGGAGTATTGCATCATTATTCTCGAAAAGTATATTATATATTTAACATAGTCACGTATTATGTTTATATCAGTTCTTTAACGCATTGTTTTTCATATTATGAGTTAATTTAAGAGCTAAAAAACACCACATTAAATTCTAACTTATTTAATTAGATAATAAGTTTATTGTTCCGAAGTTATTAGTTTGATTTGACAGAATGAACTTATTTTTAACTTTTTTTAAAAAAAAATAAATTAGTGCTTATCTTATAATAAAGTTATTATCTATGTAGATTTATTGAAAATTTTATTTCGGATGACTTATCAGCTATATTACTAAACACGTTTCTTCATGAGCTAACATCTTAACAACCAGTCATAAATTATCAGCTAGAAATTTAAAATTAGCTTATGCACTATATCAATTAACTTATCAATTACACTGGTTAATACACTGAATACTTTTCGAGGTGGCTTGGGTATTGCCTGATCCACACATCTAATATTTTAATGTGTGTGAGTTGGCATCTCCACCTCACACACATTAATATTATGTAACATACTTTTTTTAATTTCAATTAATTTTGGTTCAAGAACTACTATGAATATACAAAGATGTAAAAAAAAAAATAGTATCTCCACCTCACACACATTAATATTATGTCACATATTTATTTAATTTCAATTAACTTTGGTTCAAGAACTACTATGGAAATACAAAGATGTATGAAAAAAATAATAATACTACAGTCAGACAATCATATTTTTTCAACATATATACATTATTTCAAAATAAAATATCATACTTTAAAAATTAACGTAAATAAAAGTTGACATTTTAAAGTATAAATATGTATTTTTTATTAAAATTATAAGACGAGTCGACCGAAATACGAGAAAAAGATGGGATCAAATTTGAATAGAGATGTAAATGGGTTGGGTCGGGTATGGGTTTTGACAAACCCGAACCCGACCTGCATGTAATTCACCCTACCCGTACCCGACCCGTTATCCAGTTAGTGAACTCGGGTTCGAGTTGAGTTTTACCCAACGGGTTATCGGATCTTCGTCGGGTAAACGGGTAACCCGAATTCTTAAATTTGAATTTTACCCGGACCCAACCTGACCCGACCCGTTTCATGTGCAAAGAAATAAATAAAATAATTTCACAATTAAATATAATGTAACTAACAATTTATTAACTAAGTTTGACTGACTATAAAAAAATTCAATATTATTTTTAGAATAAATATTGAGATATAATTATTTATTTTTTATAGTCTAGTTAATAATATAACATTCAAAAATTAAATATTTGAATTTGATATTGTACAGCTAAAAGAATAATTGATAAAAAAATCATAAAAATAAAATAAAATATAAACCATTAACTAAAATTATAATGAATAATTTAATTTTATATTTATATAAGATATATGTATAAGAGTTATTGCTTGCGGGTAAACGAGTAGGGTAATCGGATTGGGTAACTAGTTTTCTACCATATCTGAATCCGACCTGATTCGAGGTTCGGACAGCATAATTATAACCGAAACCCGACCCAAAATTCGAGCACGCCGGGTTTACCAGACCAAAAATACGGGTAACTCATGGATAATCTGACCCGACAGGTTTTATTATGGCATGCCTAAATTTGAAAAGGCAATTGGGGCACTTGCTAATCCAACTTGGTATTATTTGAGCTCGTTTTATTTTATTTGACTTTTGGGGTAAAAAAAAAATAATAATAATAATTGGGGCGCTTGGTGGGTCATAAAGAAGATCGGCCATGCAAGATGTGTGTGGAAAGATGCAAAGAGAGGAATCAAGATCCAGCTATTTCGCATTTTCTCGTCTTTTTATTCGTAACTTATTCTAAAATACCCTGATGATCAGATTGTGGGGCTGTAATGGACCCAACTCAACAAACCCGAATCAAACTCCAATTATTTGTACCGCCACATAATTTTCTAAGGCCAGCATCATACTTGCGTGTCAAACTTTGCTCATCTTCTTTGTTTTTTTTTTTTTTTTNTTTTAATTTTAGATATCAAATTTAAAGCAATATTTATAAAAATATAATATTTCATAATATAAATATTTATTTTTGTTTTCTAGTGTACATACATGTGTGAGATTTTGACATTGGATCTTTTATTATATGAAGACTTGTACTTTTCTGATCAACGTCCTCATCGTGAATGGAACGATCGAACAATATATGAGGCTTTAAATTAGAATATGTGTCCTAAAAAATTAATCTCACATTTTTATATTTCTATATGTTGAATAAATGATGTATGTTGTAAAATTAATTCAAATTATATATGTTTTACGAATTAATTAATGTAATGGATGCTTTCACGATTCGGTTTGACGATTAGGCCTATCTCACATTTTACTCTTGTACTTTTCTTAAGGAAAAAGAAAATAATAAATCAGCATCAACTTGGAAGCTGCAATGATCTGACGTTTGGTGGAAAACGGTTAAAGAAACGTGCATTACATTTCATCTACTTCTTGATTTTGCTATCAAACGATTACATATATAGTCACTAATCGTACTGTGAGGCAATTTGGCAACACTATTTACGCATGAAAATAATACGTATCTTTTAAAAAAGTAAGATCTGTTTTATTAGGCAAATATACATCCATACGTAATTACTGACCACACTTTTAAACTGAAACCTTATATTTTAAAATATAATCTAAACAAAAATATGACATTTTTTTAGTTTAAATAAGCATTTAGTTAGTTTGAACGGTTAGATTGTTTTATACAAAAATTTAATCTATTTATACTTATATTAAAGGGGGTACTATTTTACTAAATGTAGTATGTAGAATAGTCAACCTTAATTAATGATTTGCTATTTTTATCAATCATTTAATTAATGCATCTAATATTTTTGGTATGCAAATCAAATTAGCATTTAATTAATTCCTAAAATATTGGATATGCAATATTAATTTAGGAATATCCATGTAGTTCCTAAAATGTT